ATAGGGCACCATCTAAGTCCGTTGAGACGACGTCGTGTGAACATTGCTTTGGCAAGAAACCAAAGTTGTCGTTTCTTAATGTTTGGGGCTGCGATGCTTAAGGCTTCAGCCGGAGAAGCTCGAACCCAAAGCGGACAAACACATCTTCATAGGATACCCAAAGGTGACAGTTGGGTACATCTTCTATCTCATATCCGAGGGCAAATTGTTTGTCGCTAAGAACGGGTCCTTTCTCGAGAAGGAGTTTCTCTTGAAAGAATTGAGTGGGAGGAAGATAGAACTTGATGAGGTTGTCGAACCTTTATTTCAACCAGAGAGTGATGCAACACAGAAAGATGTTTTCTGTGGTGCCTACGTCTGTTGGAGAGGAAGTTAATGATAGTGATCATGAAGCTTCGGATCAAGTTGCTATCGAACCTCATAAGTCGACAAGGATATGTACTACTCCTGAGTGGTACGGTAATCCTGTCTTAGATATCATGTTGTTAGACAACAATGAACCTACGAGCTATGGAGAAGCGATGGTGGGTCCGTATTCCGACAAATGGTTAGAAGCCATGAAATCCGAGATAGGATCCATGTATCAGAACAAAGTATGGACTTTGGTGGACTTGCCCAATGATCGGCAAGCCATTGAGATAAATGGATCTTTAAGAAGAAGACGGACGTGGGCGGTAATGTTACCGTCTATGAAGCTCGACTTGTGGGAAAGAGCCTTTTCACAAGTTCAAGGAGTTGACTACGATGAGAATTTCTCACCCGTAGCGATGCTTAAGTCCGTCGGAATCATGTTAGCATTAGCTGTATTTTTCGATTATGAAATCTGACAGATGGATGTCAAAAACAAGTTTTCTTACCAGTTTTTCGTAAGAAAGAGTTGTATGTGATACAATCAAAGTTTTGTCGATCTTAAGGATGCTAAAAGGTATGCTGGCTCCAGCGATCCTTCTATGGACTAGAGCAAGCATCTCGGAGTCAGAATATATGCTTTGATGGAGTGATCAAAGCTTTTAGGTTTATAAATGTTTGCTAGAAACTTGTATTTACAAGAAAGTGAGTGGGAGCACTACAACATTTCTGATAAGTATATGTGGATGACATATTGTTGATCCGAAATAATGTAGAATTTCTGGAAAGCATAAACGGTTGTTTGAAGAGTGTTTTTCAAAGGAAGACATGGATAAAGCTGCTTACATAATGGGCATCAAGATCTATAGAGATAGATCAAGACGCCTGATGATACTTTCAAAGAACGCACACCTTGACATGATTTTGAAGGAGTTCAAAATAGATCAGTCAAAGAAGGGATTCTTACCTGAGTTGTAAGGTGTGAAGTTGAGTAAGACTCAAAGATTGACCATGGCAGAAGAAAGAGGAAGGACGAAGGTCGTCCCCTATGCTTTTGTCATAGGCTCTATATGGTATGCCATGTTGAGTACCGCACCAGATGTGTGCCTTGCCACATGCTTGGCAAGAGGGTACAAAGGTGATCTAGGAGTGGATCACCAGATAGCAGTCAAAATTATCCTTAGAGGAATAAGGAAATGTTTCTCGGTTATGGAGGTGATAAAGAGTTCGACGTAAAGAGTTACGTCGATGCAAGCTTAACACCTATCCGGATAGCTCTGAGTAGAGATACCGGATACATATAATGGAGCAACAATTTGGAATAGCTCCAAGTGGAACATGGTAGCAGCATCTACGATATGACATAAAGTTTTGCGAAATACATAGGGATCTGAATATTGCAGACCCGTTGACTACAACCTCTCTCACAAGCATAACATGATCAAACCCAGAACTCATTGACTGTTAATCACATAGTGATGTGAACTAGATTATTGACTCTAGTAAACTCTTTGGATGTTGGTCACATGGCCATGTGACCTGTGAGTGTTAATCACATGGAGATGTGAACTAGATTATTGACTCTAGTGCAAGTGGGAGACTGTTGGAAATATTCCCTAGAGGCAATAATAAATCAGTTATTATTATATTATATTTCATTGTTCATGATAATCGTTTATTATCCATGCTAGAATTGTATTGATAGGAAACTCAGATACATGTGTGGATACATAGACAACACCATGTCCCTAGTAAGCCTCTAGTTGACTAGCTCATTGATCAATAGATGGTTACGGTTTCCTGACCATGGACATTGGATGTCGTTGATAACGGGATCACATCATTAGGAGAATGATGTGATGGACAAGACCCAATCCTAAGCCTAGCACAAGATCGTGTAGTTCGAATGCTAAAGCTTTTCTAATGTCAAGTATCATTTCCTTAGACCATGAAATTGTGCAACTCCCGGATACCGTAGGAGTGCTTTGGGTGTGCCAAACGTCACAAGGTAACTGGGTGGCTATAAAGGTGCACTACGGGTATCTCCGAAAGTGTCTGTTGGGTTGGCACGAATCGAGACTGGGATTTGTCACTCCGTGTAACAGAGAGGTATCTCTGGGCCCACTCAGTAGGACATCATCATAATGTGCACAATGTGACCAAGGAGTTGATCACGGGATGATGTGTTACGGAACGAGTAAAGAGACTTGCCGGTAACGAGATTGAACAAGGTATCGGGATACCGACGATCGAATCTCGGGCAAGTATCATACCGATAGACAAAGGGAATTGTATACGGGATTGATTGAATCCTTGACATCGTGATTCATCCGATGAGATCATCGTGGAGCATGTGGGAGCCAACATGGGTATCCAGATCCCGCTGTTGGTTATTGACCGGAGAGTTGTCTCGGCCATGTCTGCATGACCCCCGAGCCCGTAGGGTCTACACACTTAAGGTTCGATGATGCTAGGGTTATAGGGAAAGTATGTACGCGGTTACCGAATGTTGTTCGGAGTCCCGGATGAGATCCTGGATGTCGCGAGGAGTTCCGGAATGGTCTGAAGGTAAAGATTTATATATGGAAAGTTCTGTTTTGGTCACCGGAAAAGTTTCGGGTGCTATCGGTAACGTACCGGGACCACCGGGAGGGTCCCGGGGGTCCACCAGGTGGGGCCACCAGCCCTAGAAGGCTGCGTGGGCCAAGTGTGGGAGGGGACCAGCCCCAGGTGGGCTGGTGCGCCCCCCCACCAAGGCCCAAGGCGCCCCCAAGAGGGGAAGGGGGCAAACCCTAGGGCAGATGGGCCCTAAGGCCCACCCCAGGTGCGCCTCCCCCTCTCCCCCTTGTGGCCGCCACCCTAGATGGGATCTGGGGCTGCCGCACACCTTGGGGTGGGAACCCTAGAGGGGGCGCAGCCCCCTCCCCTCCCCCCTATATATACTTGAGGTATGGGGGCTGCCCAACATACGATTTGATCTCTCTCTTGGCGCAGCCCTATCTCTCTCCCTCCTCGTCTCTCGTAGTGCTTGGCGAAGCCCTGTTGGAGTTCGCGCTCCTCCACCACCACCACGCCGTCGTGCTGCTGCTGGATGGAGTCTTTCCCAACCTCTCCTTCTTCCCTTGCTGGATCAATGCGTGGGAGACGTCACCGGGCTGCACGTGTGTTGAACACGGAGGCGCCGTGGTTCGGCGCTTAGATCGGAATCAACCGCATCTGAATCGCTATGAGTACGACTCCTTCATCCGCGTTCTTGCAACGCTTCCGCTTAGCGATCTACAAGGGTATGTAGATGCACTCCCCTTCCCCTCGTTGCTAGATTACTCCATAGATTGATCTTGGTGATGCGTAGAAAATTTTAAATTTCTGCTACGATCCCCAACACAGCACGCACAACCTTCTTCAATCCTATCCGCCATGAGCTTCGACCCCCCGCACTGATGGGGGTTGCACGCTGTTGCACGGGAATGGAGCTGCTACGGTGGGGGCCGAGGAGATGTTGGCGGTCATGGGTTGGAACCAGTGAATGGCGATGTTACATACACACCGCTTTTTTGCTGGAACTAGCTACACAGAGAGCTACAACCAGCACCGCGGGGGAGATGGAACCAGCCGTTCCAGAGCAGCGACGACACACTGTGTTTGAACCGGCATTGCGGGGAGCTGCAACCAGCAAGACGGCGAGCACGGGTGTGGCCGCCATTTTTTCGGAGTGATTGTTTTTGCTACAACTAGTCCAAATATTTGTTACCACCGTCTTTGATTTTTGCTACAACCCTATTTTTTCGATTTTTTTGCTGGATGTATCTGGAACCACTTCGATTTTTTTGTTACCACCACCTTTGTTTTGTGCTACCACCGTCTTCGTTTTTTGCTACCACCGTATTTGAATCTTTGCCAGATCCATCTTTTTTCCTAGAACCACTTCAAATTTGTTACCATCGTCTTTTTGTTTGCTACCATTATATCTGATTTTTGCTACCATCCCTTCTGATTTTTCTGTTGGAACCAACAAATTTATTTTGTTGTAACCAGCAAATTTGTTGCTACCACGTCATGTGCAAACCGCTACAACGATTAATTTCAAGGAAAAGGCTGCAAATCGGAGGCCAATTTTTTGCTCGAACCGACACTACAAATTGCTGCGTTGGGGGTGGACCAGTGAGCACTGGTGCTACAACCGGCAATCGGCTCCGGCGTGCGCGCCAACGAGCAGCTCCGACGTGCGCGCCGACGAGCGGCTCCGGCGAGCCCGCAGACGAGCGGCTCCGCGAGCTGCTAGCGAGGGCAGTCAGAGGACACGGAGTTGTACATGAGCGAGGTTTTTTTTTCTCTGGATCTGACAGTTACATCTGGCTGTATCCAACGCTAGGGCGTTGACCGGCCGAAAATTTCGGCTGGTGCGTCGGCGCGTAGTAGTCGCCAGATAGATAAGAAGTATTTTTGGCCGGTGCGCCGGCGCGTAGTAGTCGCCAGATAGATAGGAAGTTTAAAAGAAAAGAAAAAACATATGAAGACATTTCACCTTGCCACCAGCATCTTGACGGTGGAACGACCGGAGAATTCTCTCCAAAAACCCTTGTGCTCGTCGACTCGTCGTCTCGTCCGTGCTCATCTCTTCGTTCCTCTCCATCTCCCCACCGGCCACCGCCATGCCTTTCGATTTCCCATGGCTCAACAAAGCCGCCTCCACCTCGACCCCAAACCCTAGCCTGAGCAAGCCCAACAATCCAAACCCCTTCCTCCCCATCCAGACCCACCTCACCTCCTTCGTCTCCTCCCTCCCCCTCCCACGGGCCATTGCGCCGCCATGGGCTCGCATCCCCTCCCCATCTTCGTCGGCGGCGCTGCCAGTCGCAGAGATCGAGGGCCGGCTCGCCGGGGTGCCCGTGTACGCTCTCGCTAACTCCGCCCAGGAATTCATGCTTGTGTCGAAAACCCACGGGGGCGGGGATGTGGGCGGAAGCGCGAGGCGTCCACCAGCGCTCGGGATGCTCTGCTTCCGGAGGGAGGACGCCGATATGCTCCTCGCACAAATGGACGACGATATGCGCGCTGGCTCCACCGTGGTACCTGTTGCGCTCAACAAGGTCAGGTGCTTGCATTTGGTTTCCATAGGTTTTGCTCGACGGAATCCTCGAATGCGATGCTCTAATGGTGTGTTTTCTAAGTAGCCTTGGCGCTGTAATCATCCTGTATGTCCAGCGACTAGCGTGCCAATTAAATTTGTAACAGTGATCGTGTCTCATGGAAGTCATGGCAGGGTGCGAATTTGATATATCTAAAATGGGGATTCATCTGTCATTTGGTCAGGGCATCACTTCCATCTGTTCACTTAAAGCTGCCTGATCGTTTGATGTCATGCTCCAAGCCTTAAGTGGGAGTATATTTCTTGGAAATCACTAGTCATGTATATCTTGAGGGCCTTGTTGTGGGTGGCATTCATGAATTAGTTTTTCTGAAAGATTTTTAATTAGTGGTTAAGGTCCTGACTCAAGTTGATTACTTGTATTTAAACGAGTTCGCATTTCATATGAAATACTGGATTTGCAAAATTTATAAATGTTTCTAGTTTAGAAGATGCTACTTGTTTACTAGAAAGCCCATTCAGGTGTCATTAGTGTTCATTTATCTTTTGGAAATTATGTACTCCTGCTTCTGCGTTGTCACTTGTTTTCTATGTGTACCTATTTTTGGAGCATCTTATTTACATATGATATGATTTTGTTTTCAGGTTATCCAACTGAAGTCTGATGGTGTGGCATTTAGATTTCTTCCTGATCCTTCTCAGGTGGCTAATGCAATTAAGGTAACATTTGTTCGAAATAGATGGTAGTGCATGTGATTTATTAGCAAATTTGATCTTCTTATTGATTTTACCGGATCATATTATATACTCCCCTTATGTGATATTGTGAAATGTTGGTTGACCCAAGATGATATTCTTAGTGGAGTTTTAGAAAATTGCAACCGGTATTATTTTGGTCACATGATCTTGTTGTGATTATACATAAATACTTGGCCTTGTTTTAACTTTTTATTTATGTATATACTCATTGGAAAGAAAAACAACCATCTGTGCTTCCATTTTTCATTGCATCCAATTATTCACTGTTTGCAACAGTTTCACTGTAGCACAAGATATGCTTCAGTGCTCCAATTTAACAATTTCTTTGAGAATTTAAGTGCGCCAAGATGCCATATAAACCCATCTAAACACTTCACCTTTGCCCCTCTTAATCGGTTTTCTATAAGATATCGAGAGCACATATCCGCATAATTCCCTGGGATACCTGGTAGACCTGTCACTTTAGTTGTTTTGCAATGTTCAAATGGGGAAGGGGCTTGGTCCTTATATTCAGCTGAGTATCTGTACCGCAAGACTAATTTTTTGTTGGGAAAACTTTGTTTACTTGCTCTAGTTATTATCCGACAGATCAAATCCATAGCATTTCCGGCACGGCTAAGTTAACTATCTGGGTGAAAACGGTATGTTTACATGTTCAATGTTCGGTACTGATTTCGTGATCCAGCAGCTTATCCGTGACCTTGACTAATTTCCATGTGCTTTACTGGGTGGTTGATAGCCAGTTTCTCAACTAACAAAATGACAACGGATTTCATAGATTTCTAGACAACATTGTGAGACCATGTGACTGACAAGGCATGTTCTGTCGTTCATTCCATCTCTGCTGCTTGCCTGCTTTACGCCTCCATTGTTTCTTTCCTTGTTTTGTGCAAGTGCTACCAGACTTATGTGACAATAAGTAGCATAAAAGATAGAGGCCTTATTGGAAATAATAACATTTCATCAGTTAGTGAGAATTGTGGAGCCATTGTGAAGTAAGGTGTGTTCATTTTACATCTCCTTCTTAAAGGAATTGAACCTCTTTGTTGTCCTATTTTTTATCTCTAATTGGAGACTACATGCACTGGTGCACTTTTTTTTTGTAACGCATTTGGGCTGATATATTTTGATTCACACTCGCATTTTGGAGCGTTTATATTGTGATGATAGTTAACCACTCATGCAATAACTTAACAGTTTAGCATTTTTATCTTGCAGTTGATGCAAGATGGAGGGGAATTTATGAATGAGGGGTTTCCAGGAGTTCCTGTTTTCCAGGTTTGAATATCCTCATCTATTTTTATAGTTTTGAATTCATGTACATGGTAGAATTTGTTGAGTAGTATCAAAGTAAGAGAACCACAGACCAAGGATGAACAAAATCAAAGTACTGTGTTTATTGATTCTTGTATCTTCTTAGGTGCACACATGCATGTTGAGATTTAATCGCAGTATTTTTTTTACCAAAGAACAGCCAACAATATTTGGGTTTAGTCATTGTTTTTTTTTTTGAAAAGAGGCAAAAGATTTGCCTCGTTCATTAAATAAGAAGAGCAATAGAGTTTAGTCTGCGTTACAACACGAACAGTGCCACAACAACTCGAAACAACAGTTAGACACTACTCTCGCTGTATCATTTGACCCAATTTTGTAGCACCTGCGGTGATCCAGAGCTTGGCCTCCTTGATATTGGCGAGAAGCACCGTCGTGGAGCACTCTTCTTGACGGAACACACATGCATTCCTCTCGCTCCAAATGGTCCAGACAACGAGCATGGTGAGCGAGGCCATTGCTTTCCTATTGGGGATCGAATTGTCAGAGAGGCCCACCCACGAATCTTTGATGGAGCCCGATAGGTGCCACAAGGAAGTGTCGATGTGTACAAGTTGGAGCGAGTCTTTGAGCAATCCCCATAGCCGGATGGAGAAGCGGCATTTGTAGAAGAGGTGGTCCATAGACTCTTGCACCCGCTTGCAAAGAGGGCAGAGGCCACGGTTAGGCCATCCACGCTTCTCCAATCTGTCCGTCGTCGATACCCTGTTTTGAATAGCCAACCAAGCGAAGAACTTTACCTTGGGCGGTGCCCAAGCCTTCCACACAGTGTATCCCATTGGGGATTGAATAGTACCATGGAATTACGCTTTATAAGCCGACTTGGCCGTATATTGCCTGCTAGGCTGCTAGCAGTGTGTTTCCAGACAATCTCATCCTCGGCATTGTCGTCAAGATGGAATCTACGGATAGTTGTCCAAAGGGTCACAAACTCACGTAAGTGATTCAGCGAAAAGGATGATGAGATGCTAATCTTGGAGACCCAAGCATCGTTGTTAAGAGCTTCACGCACCTTCCAGTTTCTTCTTTTACTCCCTCCGTCCGGGTTTATTAGGCCCATAAGCCAAATTGCTAAGACCAAGAAGATGCACGCAACTAGAGATTTGGAAAATAAATCAACTTAATTTACTCCAGAACCACCCTATTAACTAGGCCTAGTAACTAACCAGACGCATGCAATGGACGGCGTGCGCATACATCGTGCATGCATGGCCAATCAGCCAAGTCCATGCGCCAGCTCCAATGCAGCAACGCAAAAGAAGGGAGAGATTCTTCGGAAAAAACAAGTAGTTACTGCAGGGGGCCTTATAAACAGGGACAGACATGGATGGCTTAAAGGCCCAATAAACCCGGACGGAGGTAGTAGATGCCTTGTAGATGAGAGGCGCAATGTCCTTTGGCTTGCGGTCATGCACCCATGGCTTATACCAGAAAGGCATCCTTGCGCAATTACCTACGAAGATGGCCGATGAGGCATAGAACAAGGTGGAGTCCAACTCATCGCAAGGGTTTCCCATGCCCACCCAAAGCTTGGTTGGGTCTTTCCATACAAACCACAGCCACCGCGGTCGAAGAGCCTGAGCAAACTCCGTGTTTAGCACACCAAGGCCACCAAGGTCCTTAGGCTGGTATACCGCATTCCAATTCACCTTGCACTTAGCACCGGTGGTTTTGTTCGTGCCCTCCAAAGAAAGGCTCTCTCAATTTTGTTCATGTTGTGCACGTGGACGGGGGAAAGATGAGCGGTGTGATGGAGAAGATGAGTTGCAAAGAGAGCACCTACTTCACCAGGGCACAACGACCAATAGCAGTGATGTTTTGCCCATCCCAAGTGGTCAACTTGGAAGCCGCCTTGTCTTCCAGGTATTGAAAATCACCTTTCTTAGCTGCCACACCGAAAGAGGCAGCCCCAAGTATTTCAAAGGGAAAGAAGCCCGAGGCGTGGGTAGGGCGTGGAGGATGCTTGCCAAGTTGATGTGCCCTCAACGAATAGGAACCACTGAGCTCTTCTGGAAGTTTGTGGATATGTCAGTGACATTGCCCAATAAATGCAAGATTCTTTGTGCCCCTTGCGCCATCATACTCCACAGTCCCCCACCATCATCAGCACATTTATGTGCCACCATGTCACCACCATCTTGACTATGTCGTCCTATTTAAACTGCGCGATCAACTACTACATTTTATAGCATCACTCGGTAAAGAAGCTAGTTAATGCTCAATACTGTCTTGCTTCATATTAACTCCTTTCTCGTAAGAATTCCATCTTTAAGACAATTGACCTACTCGCTGACCTGCTTTTCAGTCAAGGAGCCTTGTTCTAAGGAATGATAACAAGAGATATCGGCCAGTTTTCTTTAGAAAGGTCAGGATTATCATATTCTCCTTCGTACACCTGATTATCATATTTTCTTACTTTAGTTTTTTATACTTGTCTAGGAGGACTTAGACAAGTCACTGCACCGAGCATCTAGTGACCAGCAAAAGCCTATCCCTGCTGTTAGGATTGGTGACACACAGGTGCCACATTTATTTGTTTGTTTGTTATGAATGACAATTTTGACTTCACATTTGTTGACTCACTCTCTTTTCCAGGTTTCTTCTTTGGAGGATATCATCACATCAATGAAGGTACACAAATACCGTAACATTGTTTCAGCATATTGTTGAATTAACCATATCCTTGTTTAGATGGAAGGGGCATGACAAATACTGTAGTTAGAGACTGGAACGTAGTTTTAGACTATAGTATAGGCATGAAATTAACATGAAGTTTTCGTAATTATATGTGATCACATTGCTAGACTAGTTTTGTGACATCAGTGGACCGTTTCCTCATCTCATATCATTACTGTGCCTTTTTTCCTCCAGAATCTTGCATATGGAAGCTGTTTAATGCTTCACTTATGAATCTTTGCATGGACTTCATCAAACCTCGTTTCATTTGATTCCCTACTTCCCTTAGATGTCATATTATAACCTTACCAAAATCAGTGGTATATGCTTGCAGGATAGCTCCTCCTCGAAATGGGATGATGCCGTTTTTATTCCTCCAGGTTTCGACATCGCTATTGGCTCAGAGCCATCACACCTCAACAAGTAGATATTTCTGTACATTGAGGGTGGTCAGCTGGTATTGTCTCGAAAATAGTTGAACATGGATATGGTAGATTGATAGTATATATGTTCATGCCCTTTACACCATGACCTGATGTGTGACTCATTTTCAAGGTTGTCATTCCCTGCGTTAGCAATACGTTCGGCAAAGTAGACCGGAAGGTGAACAAACCTCATCGAAAGTAGACCAGAAAGTAAATCGATCGTCATACCTTGTTTCTTCTATGCATAATATCGAAATTATGCATGTACTGTGCGTCGCTCACGAGTTTGGCGTCAGCAACTTTGCAGAGGCAATGTTTCCCATGTGTTCACCGTGAATGATGTGAATGGATCTAACTAGGCCAGTTGCACAAGACTCCTTTGTGCAGTCAATTTAATACTCCCTCCGATCCATGTTGTACTAAATCAGCAACAATTGACAATTAATATGGATAGAAGTGAAAATCCATGTCTGCACCCGCGCTGATGGAAAAAATTAAAACAAATACTAGAAAAATTCAGAAAAAAATTGTGCAGTAGAAAATTTGATGAATGAGGTCCGCTTCAATTTTTAAATCATTTGGACATTTGATGAGCTCTAAGCAAAAAAGACAAATTAGAGGTCTATAAAAATGTTTACTGTTCATGTATTGTTTTGGCCCGATTTGACTTTTTTGCTGCTCAGATGTCCAAATGACTTGAAATTTGAAGTGGGCCTTACATATCAAATTGTCTACTGCACAAAAAAATTGAAATTTATTTTTTATTTTTTTACGTTTCTTTTTTCTAACCGGGTGCAAATAAGCCTGGGCATCAAAACTCCCTACTCGGATAGGAGGGAGTATAATGAACGGTAATTATGATATACAAACTTCTCCTATCTGAACAAATAATCATGAATTCAGGTTTCCTCATTTGAAATGCTGGTAGATGATAGAATGAAAGATCCATTCCATTCTCAAATTAAAAACTATATATGTTATATACAACAATATACTCCTTCCGTCCTATAATATAATAGCATTTTTTTACACTATCGCTCTTATATTACAAGACGGAGGGAGTAGTAACAAAGAATTACAGACAAGTAACAAGGGAAATGATGAATCCTCACAAAGCACAAGGAGGTACTTCATCTGTTCCAAAATATTTAAAGTTCTAGGTTTGTCCTAAGTCAAACTTTCTTAAGTTTGACCAAATTTATAGAAAAAATTACTAATAACCACAACATCGAATATATATATATATATATATATATATATATATAGCCGGTCTATTATGCTAATATTAGCAGAATAACTATTCTGATAACACTTTCGCACTGCACGCTCAACACAAGTGCACATCATTGTTTGAACCAAGTGTGCTGCAGTACTCAGGCGAGTGAACTTCCCATCGCAAAAAATTGCACGCTGTGTTTTTTCGATACCATTTTTGCTTTAGTTTTTTAACCGTTTGTTGGAGTGAGGTGTGTAATATACCGTCCAAAAGCTATGGATTAGGCGCTACTTCGTCATGTTGAACACTTTTTGAGATTCCTCACAGTTTAAGAGCAATTTTGAAAATGGGGTGGCCCATAACGAGTGGCAGCGATTGTTTTTTCACGTTTTTTCTAAATCGCTCGTCGGAATGAAGCAAATGATACACCGTTGGAAAGATATCGTCGAGGTGCATCTTTTTCATATCTATTATTTTCTCTAATTCGTTACAGTTTAAGAGAAGTTTCAAATTTACTAAATCGTGGAGTTCTGTTTTTCAAATTTTTTGAAATTTTCGGTACTGTTTTTGTTCCAGATTTTTAACCGTTTGTCGAAACGAGACGTGTAATATACCATTGAAAAGCTATGGACGAGGCGCAACTGTCATATGTTGAAATGTTTTTGAGATTCCATACGGTTTTAAGTTAATTTTGAAAATCGTGTGGCGGACGACGAGTGGCAGCGACCGTTTTTCACAAATTTTTTACAAACCGATGGTTGGAATGATTCAAACGATACGCCATTGGAAAGATATCGACGGGGCACAACTTTTTCATGCAGAACACTCTCCTAATTCTCTAAGGTTTAAGAGGAATTTCAAATTTACGAAAATGCGGACACTCTGTTTTTCGCGACACCCAAATCGACGTGCGTACTTCATCCGACTGAAAACCGCACTACATCGGACGAAAAACCGCACTGCATCAGACGGGTAAGAGAACTGCATGGAAATTTTTTCAAGGACGAGAAAGTAGAGTGCACTTCACATCGGGTGTAAATGAATCACAACACTATCAAGAAGTGAACCACATTACTTTTCTTCGCTTCCATAACAATTTTTTGCACTTACGGGGTGAACAACTTCATACGGCCGACCGCACAACTTCACAGTGAAAACCACACTACAATAGACGGGCAACTGAACTTCATGATTTTTTCGTCAGACGTAAATTTTCCAAGTTGAGGAAGTGGAGTGCGCTTCACATCAAACGAGAGTGAACCGCAACACTACCGAGAAGTGAACCGCCATACTTTTTTGTCATTTCTGTAACATATTTTCTCAGCTTCATATTTTTTTGGGGGGTCAACCGCAAGACAACCGAAAGTGAACCACAACACTAGCAGAAGTGAGCCGCAACACAAACGGAAATGAACCATATTATTTCTTGAATGGAACAAGAGTATCTCATATTGAGGAAAAGTAAAGCGCAACACAAATTGAAGAGAACCGCATTAGTTTTGCAAAGTTAACTGCGACACCAACCTAATTATATACTATGTCCATACAATTTTGCAAAAATAATTTCTCCAAAAATAATAAAAAGTGAACCCCCCTGTACAATTTTTTTACAAGGTGAGCACCTCTGTACCATGCATTGTGCTGCAAATGTAAACATACATTTTCCGTACAAGGCGAACTCCTTTGTACTCATGCGGGAACCGCACGCTGGCACCAGCCGGACTACATCATTTGAGCTTTGCATGATCTAATAAAAAATATTACAAGGCCAACCGCATTTTTTTTCATGGAGTGAACCTCACTGAAGCGAACCGCTCTGTCCCATACTACTAGCAGTCATTTTCTTTGTGTCTTTTTTGCTTTGCATCACAAAGGAACATATAGTGAACCGCAGCAGATAGAGGAGCAAACCTATCCAAGAGACAGTGAATTCTTCCTACAAGTAAATATGAACTTCTAGTTCCCTAGGAAATTACAAAAACAGTGAACTGCATTTGCACTTTGATTTCTCCAAAAACAACAAAAACAGTGTACTGCACATGGCAAATCTCGTCATCGTGGGGGTGAGCCACCGGGGTGGATGCGTCATGGAAAGAGAGCAACTAAAAAAAACTTAGCGAGCTTAAAAAAAATTCAAAATGAACTGCAATCAGGCTCTTGCAGGCACTGCTCCACGGCGGATGAAGTCGAACAGAGAGAGGGACTCATCTGGGACAATCGGGGGCTCTTCTCATGCACTGCGGGGGAGGAGAAGAACTAGAGAGGGGGTCAGGGCAGAGGCTGGTCGCGCTGTCGGGAGCAGATGCCCTATAGCTCGTCACAGGAGGAGCCGAGCACTGCAACGCCCGCGTAACCGCACCACGGGCCCGACACTCGCGAACTGCGTGCTGAGGTGGTAGGCGGCGGTGTCCTCCCAGTGGAGTAGTCCAGCAGGCTAAAGTACGGGGCCCGACGCGGCGTTGTTGGTAGTGCTTCTAGGACAGAGGAGGGGAGGTGCAAGAGGAGGGGAAGGCAGCTGCAGCCGCCGGAGGAGGAGGTGAGGTGGAAGAAGGGGACAGAGGAGAGGGCCGATCTCATCGCCGGCCAGAAGAAGGAAGCGGTGACAGAACTTGGCAGGATGGGGTCACCGGTTCCTAGCAGATCAGCGGGGGTTGGAGGAGCTACACGTGTGCCCGCTATCGGTGTCAAAACCGGCGGATCTCGGGTAGGGGTCCCGAACTGTGCGTCTAAGGCAGATGGTTACAGGAGGCAGGGGACACAATGTTTACCCAGGTTCGGGCCCTCTCGATGGAGGTAATACCCTACTTCCTACTTGATTGATCTTGATGATATGAGTATTACAAGAGTTGATCTACCACAAGATCGTAGAGGCTAAACCCTAGAAGCTAGCCTATGATCATGATTGTTGTTGTCCTACGGACTAAACCCTCCGGTTTATATAGACACCGGAGGGGGCTAGGGTTACACAGAGTCGGTTACAAGGGACGAGATCTACATATCCGAACTACCAAGCTTGCCTTCCACGCAAAGGAGAGTCCCACCCGGACACGGGACGAAGTCTTCAATCTTGTATCTCCATAGTCCAATAGTCCGGCCAAAGCATATAGTCCGGCAGTCCGAGGACCCCCTAATCCAGGACTCCCTCAGCAGCCCCTGAACCAGGCTTCAATGACGATGAGTCTGGCGCGCAGATTGTCTTTGGCATTGCAAGGCGGGTTCCTCCTCCGAATACTCCATAGAAGGATTTGAACAGACGGATAGTGTCCGGCTTTGCAAAACAAATTCCACATACCACCATAGAGAGTATAATATTTCCACAAATCTAATCCGCTGACGACTTTTCATAACATGACATCACGCCATGGCCCAATCATTATTCGAACCGTTTTTCTCAACCAACTACAGGCGGTTTTCTTGGCACATCTTGTCGAAGCAGAGATCGTGTCCCCTTATCACGGGATTCTCATCAATACGGGTGTGGGTAACCCAACCACACCATCAATCATGGCGCTTGGGGAATAAGCGAATTTACCAGGCAAGTGGGGAGGCGCATAATTTCTTCCGCCTTTATAAAGGGACAAGGGTTCCACCTTTTTACCCACGCCTTCTTCTCCCCTGCCCATCCATTCTCGCGCACTCGAGCTCCAGTGTCCAAGTTCGCATTTTCTCCGCAAAATCACTCCAAATATGTCTGGAGCGGGAGGCAAGTGGATGGCCTCCTCCGTTACAGAGGAGAACGATACGAAGCTCCGGGAAGCTGGATACCTGGCCGCAGATATCGCGCAC